GTGCTGGGGTACCTGGGCAATGCTGGGGTACCTGGGCAGTGCTGGGGCTGGTTGAGCGGGGCAGTTTTCCCACCCCCAGATGAATTGGGGTGGTTCCCAGTGACCACCTGCCACACCAGGTGGAAGAGATGAGGACATCTTACTGAAAGCTGAGCTGAAGTCCCCAGAAATAAGAGGAGAAGCCCTTCCCAGCACACTCACCAGCTTTCACAGGGACACTTCCTAAAAAAGCAAAGTTCCTCGATGGAGAAAGGCAGGTACAAGCTGTGGAGCTCTCCTGGGAGCGAGCAGAGTGTGATGGTGCACTCGGCCAGGAGCCCCCACAGGCCCTGGAGCACGTGCAGGCTCTGGGGGATCCCAGAGGATTGAGATCAGCTCTGCAGAGCTCTGACCTGCCCTCGCCTGCTGCCCCCTGACCTCGCTGCCAGGCATGGTGCCCACAGAGGGGCTGCTGGGCACCCAACCCCCCAGTGCTCAGCCCCACAGCCCTGCACCAGCTACACAGCCTGGGAACCAGTGCTCACAGGGTGGTGAGAAGAGCCTCTGCAGCAGCATTAACCCATTAACTAGCAATTAACTGAAGATGCAAACAACCTGCACCTTGCCCTGCTCCCCCTGGTCCATCTGAACCTTGATGTGCAGCTGAAGGTCTCCACTCTGGGACCTGCACTTGGGCAGCTTCATCAGCTGATACTCTCCAGCTGTTCAGATATGCAGCTTTTTGACCAAAATCCTACAACTTCTCAGCATTTCCTGCTATGCCAGGGCTCTGTAGGGCCCCTCCTGGTGACCCCAAACCCCAGAATCCGTGGCTGGGACCCCCGGGCATGCCCAGCCACTGGCTCGCCCCTGGAGGCTCATGGGCAAAGAAACCAAGCTCTCAGGGTTTCTTTAAAATTATATATTTTATTTTCTCATACATGCAGCAAATCGAATCAAGAGTATATGCCCATCTAAAAGGAGATCTTAATGAGAACCGTTTGACAACACACAGCAGGTAGTCTAGGATGTAGAAAAGTCATCAAATACTTGCAGGTGAAATCAAATGCACAAACACAAACTGTTCAACAATAAACATTTTTCTTTTTTTTCCCCTTGTTTTAGTTGCCACTTTGAATGTGATCAGAAATAAACAGCTTGGGTGACACTTCCATGCACAGATCCAGAGGCGTGTGGTCAGACAGGCTCACCTGCTCCTGCCACCGTGGGCAAGTCACAGAACTCAGCAGTGGGAGAGAATTCCACCCTCCAGGTGCAATCTTAACCTTTGGAACAGCATGATCCTTGTGTTCTGTGCTAGAACTCCCCTGGTTCTTCCCTTAGATCAGAGCTCTGGGATTCACAATCATCAGAGCACATTGACTGCCCTGTGCTTGCTCATCTTCCACCCTTGAGGCTCTCTGTCTACATGGGTTGGCCACTGTGCAAACTCGCATTTATTTATTAAATGGATTAAATCAATCGATAACTGCTTGGGTGATGGGACTCAGCATGAGAAGGCTGCTCAGGGCTCCAGCCAGGGGAGGCAAGTGCAGCAGCAGGTCCCCAGCCCCATGCAAACAGAGCTGCACTGGGAGCAGGAGTGGGGCAGGTTCTGTGCACGGAGCAGCCACCGGCCAAGGTGGAACTGTCTGATCCATCCTGTCCCAGGGAAACCACCTGAGAGCCTGAACCCCACTTACCTGCAGCACTAGGATGTAATCCAGCCTTGCACAAAGTCAGGACTTGCCATCTTTGCAGCGCATGCCCTGCCCCCTCAGCCCTCCCCCTCTGCCACTGCAGGATCCTGCTGCCAATCCCACTGCATCCAGGTGGGACACCAGACCTGCACCCACTCCCCCAGCAGCAGCAAATGGCCAGGGGCACCCCGCAAGTCCCCCCTGCATCAGCGGGCTGAGGTGCCACCTCTGTCCCCATGAGCATCCTTCTCCTGCCTCACACTGTGCCCTTGTCCCCAGCACTGCACTGACACACACACAGCAGTGGGGACACCATGAGCTCCAGGTATGGATTTACTGGTATGGATTTACTGGGCTTTCTCCATCACTAGAGCACCTGGAGATTGGTGAATGGGGCTCTCCTGAAACTCAGCTCTGAGCATCCTCCTGCAGCTCTGCTCTCCCCATCCTCCTGCAGCTCTGCTCTCCCCATCCAATAGTGAAGATTAAATCACCAAATTACAGTAAACAGTGACTCAACCCCTGTCACCCTGCCCTTCCTTGGAGGAGTCCACACAGATCTGAGCGTCTGTGCAGGGCCAGGCACATCCCATTACACGTTTCTCCACAGAAGAAACAGGTCATCTGGAAATAAACCTTGAAATAAGAGTTTGGCAAGCAGCAGAATGGACAACATCAGGAATAATGAAGGTATGAGCCCTCTGAAGAGGACCCAGCCCTTGCCAAACTCTCCCCAGAACATGGATCTCAATCCCAAAGCTGCCACCCAGGCTGCCTGGTGCCAGCCCTGGCTTCCCCACAGGTCCCCTCCAGGGCCACCCAGTTTGTTCAGCGTCCAGCAACGCCTGCTCCACACACGAGTGTCACCCCAACACAGACACAGAAGTCCTAAACAGAAAAGATGTAACTCCCCCCGCAGCAGCCCCTGCCCGTGCCCACAGCCCCAGGGTGCCCCTCAGCCCTGGAGACCTTCCAGCAGCATCCTGGGCAGACCTGGGAGCGCCTTCAGAGCCGAAGATACGGAAATTAAAAACATTCACCACTGAAGTAATACTAATTCTGCAGCAACAGGTTTGAAGGTCACAGTAACGCACATGCTCTGCCATCAGCTGTGGGCTGCAGAGGATGGTGGGACGTCCTCAGGAACAGCACCGGTCCCACGGGAGCCCTCACCAGCCCCCAGCCCCCCGAGCCTGCCTGGGCCTCTCATAAACACCCTCCTCCATCTGGCACAATTTGCAGTTTTTCTGGGTTTGGTTTGGTTTCCTCCAGCCCAGGGCAGGACCTGGGGCCGCGGGCTCAGCTCACGCCCCAGGAGGCACAGGACAGTGCCCGTGGCTGGTAACAGAGAGGACACCTGTCCTGGCACCGGGACATCGGCTTCGCTGCCCGCAGCCTTTGTTCTCAAGGAATCATCAAAAGAAAAGAAAATTTCCAAAGGTATAGCTTGATGTTTATAAAAGATCTAGAAGGAACTCCTCCTGACTGATAAAATCCCACCCCAATTCCCCATGGCACGGAGGAATGGCTGTGCAGCAGAACCGCTGCTGGTTCAGCAAACACACACGTGGGGGTTCTGCAAACCAGCCAGAGCGGGCTGGGACGGGAGTGGGGACGGGGATCCAGAGGCCTCTGTGTGCCCAACATCCAGAGCCACTGCCCAGCTTCCGATGGGCAGCCCCTGCCTGCCCCTGTCCACATCTGTCTGTCCCTGACCACCCCTGCCCACTCCTGCCTGCTCTTGCCCACACCTCCCTGCTCCTTCCTACCTGCCCCTAGCCATTCCTGCCCTCATCTGCCTGCCCTTGCCCCTGCCTGTCCACTCCTGACCTCCCCTGCCTGCTTCTTCCTCCACCTGCCTGCCCTTGCTTCTGTCTGCCCCTGCCCACACCTGCCTGCTCCTACCTGCTCCTGCTTGCCCTTGGCCCCTCCTGCCTGCCCCTGCCTACCCCATCCTACATGTGCCTGCTCCTGCCTCCACCTTCCCACTCTTGACCACCTCTGCCTGCTCCTGCCTGTTGTTGTCCCCTCCTTCCAGCCCCTGCCTGCTCCTGCCTGTTGTTGTCCCCTCCTTCCAGCCCCTGCCCACCCCTGCCTCCTCCTGCCCACCCCTGCCCTCCCACACACCACGGCTCTGCCTCATGAACAGCTACAAAATTGTCTCTTCTCATTCATTTTTTTTTTTTTTAATGATGCAGAAGGTCCTGGATTACTGACTAAAACCCCCAGGAATTTTGGTGGAAATCAGGGAAATCAAGATGCCTGTGAAATCCATGGGTTTGGAGCCTGGAAGAGAATAGCAGAGGGTGTAAAGTAGAAAAGTTTCTGTTATAAATAGCCCTCAGTGCAGCCCTTTGGTCTTGGGCGTGTTTTCAGTTGGTAAATTGTAAACCGAGAATATAAATGTGTTCTGTTTTGGTAGAATATTAATATCCTTTACAGAGCTGTTACATCTCGACAGTGTCTGCGAAAGATTTATGCGAGTGCTGACAGAGCGTATCAAAACTGCAAACTGTTCCAGATGTTACAAAAAAACCCCCACCTTTCACTTAGAAAAAGATTTGCTCTGATTTACAAGAACTGGCATGGGATTGGTTTGGAGTCGTAATGCCCGAGCACGGGGAAGGCGGATGGTGGGGAGGACACTCCAGAGAGCCGGGCTGACCCTATAGACAATGCATTGAAAAATATAGGTCTATAAGCAGATTTTTCCACACTGATCAAATGTATCCATGTCTTGAACAAAAGGCTCCTCTAAGACAAGCTCACACTCATTGCAAGCTTCAGCACAACGCTTTAAGCGATCAACCATGCTTAGCATTCCACAGCAACGCTTTGGGAGTAGCTGGGTCACTGGGATCTCAGCATTCCACTGCAAAAATTACAGAGACTGTAGCAATTTGGTATGTTTCTGTTTGAAAACTCTATTAGTCACCACCAACTATAGTTCCTAGAAGTATCACTGATCGGTAACTGGCACCCCGGACACCTCCGGCTAGGGAAACCAAGCTAGCGAGTGGCACGGACATGGAGAGGCCTCCTAGGAGAAGCGGTCGGCGTGTGTGGCGGGAGGGAATGTGTGTCTGCACTGCTAATCCCGGAAGACTAGTGTCGGTATGTACAAGGCGACCTGGAGTTGGGACAGCGAGGAGAGGGCTGGCACCGCGACTACACGTTAATGACAAACTCGGGGTTAGTGTAGGAGAATCCAGCAAACTCGTTCTGGTCCAAGTTCATGATGAAGAGTTTATCCGTGGGCGTGAGCTCCACCGGCTGCCGGGTGAACTCTTTGTCGAAGTTGGAAGTGTCGCGCTTGTCTTTCTGTTAAATGGAAAGCACAGAGTTAAACTGGGAAAGGACTGAGCCAGCGAGCAAGAGAGCATGGCAGCACCCAGGGGTAGTGGCAGCACCCAGAGGTGCACAGCCATGGGAGCTGTGCTGTCCCCAGGGAAGCTGTGCTGTCCCCAGGGAAGCAGTGCTGTCCCCAGCACTCCACATTCCACACCAGTTTCTCAAGCTGCCACCGATGAGGAACTCACCGCCCTGTACAAAAGAAGCAGCCCCACACCACCAGCAAGAAGAGAAGAAAACCAGTTTAACAGGCCTGGAACACACAACCGGGACACAAAGGGACACACGAGAGCTGAGGGTGTTGGGGAGGGAGCACCCCTCCTCTCCTGTTCACTGTGAGAGAGAACACAGAGCAGTTCTTAGCATGCAGAACCCCCACTGCAACCAGAGCTTGGCACCGCACAGGAGGAAGGAGCCTGGAGGAAGCAACATGCCTCAAAACAATCAGTACAATGTTAAAATTTAAACAAAATAATCAGCTGTGAGAGCTCTTTCTGCTTTAAGCTCGGTTTTTGAATGATGTCATGATATGGTGTTAACCAACACTGGTTCATTGATGGAGGATGTGATTTGCTCCAGGGTTGTACAGAGAAAACACACAGCACTTCAAAACCTCCAAGAAGGAAAATTCCACATAGGCAACCTTTTCTCCTTTTAATTTCATAAGAAGAACCACTTTGCAGCTACACCCAAGCCAAAAAAGGGAAAAAAAAGGACGTTAGTGTCAGGATTAGCGCTGGGAACCTGCTATCAGCACTGCGGAGCCAGCGCTGGCAACGCGTGGGCTGGTTTTCTAAACCCGTGTGCATCAGAGACCGCCTGGCTCAGGGGTGTCCCACTGTGGGAGGCGACAGGGCCGTGGCTGAAGGGGTGACTGAGCACTGAAGGCACAGAACAAGCACCCAGGGTCCTTCATCCACAGCAATGGGAGGTGGGGGGACATTGGCAGCCGGGAAACTGGCTCTGCTTTGCCTCATTACTAAAGCCAACAGGGACAAAAGACCTTCTCCATCCCTTCTTCCATATCTCTACATAAGAGAGACTCCAACACTATGCTGGAGGTGACCTTCCACTCCTATGACACCGGCAGGACCCTGTCACAAATTTGGTGCCTCGCAGAATCCTGCAATATATTTTTTTTTTCATTTTTCCCACAGTTTGCCTTTGAAGGGGGCCATGCTCTGCTGCACCAGGATTTCCAACCCTGGGTTAATCTGTCAGTTCGAACTGAGAAAAAGAACTGTGGGGGTCCTTAAGGTCCCACATCCCACCCTGCTCCCCCCACCTCCTGCTGCTGTCCTGGTGAAGGACCTGGCAGCTGAGATGCTGTGTCCTCCCTGCAGCCCCTCTCACCCCAGCAGCTGCCACTGTCCCAGAACTCTGGGCAGAGCCATTGGCATCTTCCTGCCTCAAGCAGGAGCATGGCCAGGACACGGCACAGAGAGAGGTTCTCCTGCCAGCCCTGACAGGCAAGGAGCAGCACAGCACAGCTGCAGTCAGACCGAGCCTCGGGAGATGAGCCAGCAACGACCTACAGGGGTACTCAGAGACCCCACTCATCACAGGAGACATCCCATCAGGATGGCTTTAGCCTGGTGGGAGGAGGATCAGAGAGAGGCAAGGGTGATGCAGAGGAGACGAGATGGGAAGAAAAACAGGGCTGGATGGAGCTCAATGAGCAAAGAGAGAAAAGCCAGGAGAAGAGCCAGGACGTGGCTGTGCCGTCAGGACTCGAACATGTGGCGAAGCTCAGAGCAGGCACCGGTGTCTGTGGGTCCCAGACTGTCCCTGAGCCATCAGAGTCTCTCCAGGGCTCCACTCCCAGCACAGAGAAGGAAGAAGATGCAGATCTGGGGGCACAGAGCAGGAGCAGGGAAGGGCAGACAGGGCGAAGGAGCCGCCTTCAGGTGCAGAGTTCTGCAGGCAAAGGGTGAAGCAGTTGAAGCGCGAGGACAAGCCCACCTTGATGGCAGCAGGGTCCCCCCAGGGACGAGGGGCTGGGTGGTCCATGGCAGGTGCTGTCCTTCGCTGCAGAGGGAGTGGGCACGGGGTCCTTCCTGCACCCCAGCCGGTGCACAGGGAGCTGATGGTGGTACTGGGCTGCTGCTCCATTCCCAGAGGGATGCTGAACTGACCAAATGGTTCCTGAAGGCCACATCCATCCAAACCAACGTGTGCCAGGACACCACCATCCTACCGAGCCAGGAGCTTCTCCTGCAGAGGAACACTGTGGGATGCTGCAAAGGGGAATGACACATCTACACCTGCCACTGGTGCAAGTTGCCACCATGGACCCCAGCCCTCCAGAGTGCTCAGCCTGGGGGCCCTGGGGTGGGAAAAATGTCCTGCTGCTGCTTTTTGGCAGCAGAAAGCTCTGGAAAAGGCAGTGATGTGCCCTGGAGGGGGCTCAGGGCAGCCCACCCCCGTGCACTGCCCTCTCCAGCAGTCCCCCACTCCTTGGGGGCTCAGCTGGGAAGCTCTGAGTTCAGCAAAGTGGGGTTTGCTGGTTTCTTACCTTGAATTTTGCCTGAATTGGTGGCAATTTGGCTTCTGTCAAGATGATGAACAGCCTGGGAACAGGCACAGAATGGCTGCATGGACCTGGTATGGAGAGAGGGGAGGGCAGGGGACACTCTGGGCTGAAAGTGCCTCCAGCAATGGGTGAATTGACTTCGGGTGGTGACAAGGAGCACAGTGGGACACCCTGGGCTCCCACTGTCCGGGCACAGCTGGCCCAGAGCAGTGTTTCTGCCTGGACCACAGGGATGGGAATCCTCCCTCTCCACTGCCCCTGAGCCCCCTCCCCATGGCAGAGCTCTGGGGCTGCCCGGGTGCAGGACTCTGGGGTCAGGCCCTGCCAGTGCTGTCGGTGCCGCCGTTCGGTGCTTTCGGAACAATCTCGCAGTGTCCAGACCCGCAGAACTCGGCAGAAGCGGAATCCCAAAGGCAGGAGGGAGGTTCTGCCGGCACTCAGGAGGGAGGTTAACAGGAACCTGTAATCCCTCTTTAGCTGAAACTGCCAATTGCTTTGAACAACTGCTCCTGGGAGAGCGGGGCAGGGATGAGTCACCGGCACACGCCGGGCGCTCGCCTCTGCAGTCTCCAGAAATCCGAGGCGATGCCGCAGTCGGCTCCGCTTAAGGCGTTGGAAGACATTCCCAAGTGGCAGAGCTCTGCCATCCTCCACCCCAGATTGTCCTTCCTCCAAGGGTCATCCCAGAGAAGCTCCTTCCCTGTCCATGCTGGAGTCCACGAGTGAGCGGGGCCGTCGCTGCGCAGCGTGGGCTGTGCAGGGGACTGTGGGCAATCACCCCCTGCTTGGACGATGCTTCCAGCACATCCCACCTCCGTTTTTTTGGGACAAACACCGTAGAGGAAGAACAGGCCATGGCTCCAGTGCTGCCTGTGCTGTCCCTGAGCCAGCATCCCCCCGTGTTCAGGGAACCTTCCAGCCCTCGGCGCGGTGCAGCCTCAACTCCTGGAATTGCCTCACTGAGCTGCAGAAACTCATTATTGCCAAACACATGCAGGTTTCTTGGGCATAGTTTCTCACTTTTTATTTTATAATCAGTGTCAGAAAAAAAAAAATTGGCACATTACAAGTCAAAGCAGATTGATACAGTGACAGCCCACAAACATCTGCAAGGGCATAGCAGGAAGTGGTGTGATTGTTGTTGTTTCAAGAGAAATTCACCCTTCCTGAAATGTTTCCTTCGAGGCCAGAAACAAAACTCGGGCCACTTAAATATCTAGTGGCAATTTTTAAGAGTAGGACTAATAGTTGAAACAAGTTTCTTTACAAGGCTCATATCAGAATTCACAATACTGGTCAGAGTTAAATAGGTCCTGTTTGGGTTAATACCATTTTTTGACACATTTAAAGCACAAGTAACAAACTCCATCAATTGCTTTGGCATTTGAAAAGAAGAGGAAGCTTCACTATAGAACTGGTGTTGGTGGTGTTTACTGGGGTGACCACGGATTCAAAAGCAGTTCTTCCAGATTTCTCACTTAGCACTGGATATTGTTTGTTTTGATTAAAAAAATGCCACTTAGGAACTGCACAATCAGGAGAAACCTTTGCCAGCAGCAGCTCTGCCTTCCTGAATAACTTATCCCATTGCTGAGGACCCAGCACTGGGAACATGCCATCCCAAAGCATCTTTGGAGGGAAGGGGAGCTGTGGTGGGGCTGGACAGACAGCAGGACACAGCTAAAAAGGAGCCAGAATCAGCATCTTGGCTCTCCTGAGGTTTTGGGAGGAGTCAAAAGGCTCTGGGGAAAGGTTCCATTAAAAACACTTACTTGCCACTAAGGCTAAGAAGGTAAAATATGAAATTTTCATGATTATATTAAAAGACTAAAAAAATGAAAGAGCAGGAATTAAAACACACAGTGAAGGGATTTCTCCCAGTTTTCCCTGTGTCTCTGTTTTCCTTCCATCACCCACTGAACTGGTCCTATTTTCTACCAAAAAAAACCATCACAAAAGCCCATTTGCAGCATTTCCTGCACATCACCTCCCCTCCAGGGACACCCCAAATCACAGGAAGACACTTCTGGCTTTGAAATATGGTCACTCTAGTAAGGGACTGAAGAAAATCCATGGATGCAAGTTTCGCAATGGAAAATGTCACCACAACGGCAGCTGTTTTTT